TACGCCGAAAGACGGGGTCCAGGGCTTTAGTCTTGATTTTCTTCTGATGTTGCAATTGATTACGCTTCGCGAATCCCCGCCAGCCCATTCCGAAGCCCTGCCCACGAGAGCTGACGGGAAATGGAAAGCAGAGACGTCTATAGTGAAACAGAGCGGTCAAAGAGGGGAGGGGGAGGAATGTGTTGAGCCATGTTGGGGGCTATCTTGGAGCATCGGAGGTCTTCTTGGAGCTATGGGGCGTTTGGGGGGTGTCTTGGGGTCCTCTTGGGGCTCTTTTGGGGCATCTTGGGGCCCTCTTGGGGCTCTTTGGGGGGTCTTGGGGTCCTCTTGGGGCTCTTTTGGGACGCTTTGGGGCCCTCATGGGGCCCTCTTGGGGCTCTCTTGGGGCCCTCTTGGGAGCTATGGAGCGCCTCCTGGGGCCATCTTGGAGACCATCGATCAAAGGAGGGGGGGTCCTAACGTTTGGTCCCCCCTCCGGGGCCATCGAAATAGCCTCTTAGGGCGCTCTTGGGACCCTCTGGGGGCGATCTTGGGCGCTCTTGGGGCCGTCGGGGGCCTCTTGGGCCCTTCTTGGAGCTCTCTTGATCCATCTTTGGGCCATCCTGAGGTCTCAAACGCCGGAAGCGAAAAGGTGACACGGCCAAACTCATTGGTTTCTCATAGGTTTTTGAAGGATTTTGGCTTCTCGGGGAGGTCCTGAGGGGTCTCCGAAAGCACTTGGATCCGTCTTGTGGCCTTCTTGGGGCCTCTTGGAGGCATGTTGTTAGCTATCTTGAGCCATGTTGGACTATCTTGAGCGATCATGGATGCCATCTTGGGTTCTCTGAGGCCCTGACGGAGCCATCTCAAGCTGGCTATCTTGGACGCCCTGACCGCTCGCGACCCCCCCGTCCAGGTCCAGGGGAGGGGGTAGGGGGAGGGGTCAAGACGCCCTGCCCGCCCGCAAGCCGTCTCTCGCTCACTCCCACCCGCCCTCCAACCATACGTAGCACCCGAGTCTGGCCCGAGCCTCAACATACTCAGCAGTCGTCTTTGGATGAGCAGCTACTGGGGGCCAATCCGCCGCCGCCGCCGCCTCCGCCGCTGCCCGCCGCCGCCCGCCGCCGCCGCCGCGCCGCCGCCGTCGCCGCCGCTGCCCGCCACCGCCGCCGCCGCGCCGCCGCCCGCCGCCGCCGCCGCCCCCGCTGCCGAATCGCCGCCGCCGCAGCCGCTGCCGCCGCAGCCGCTGCCACCACTGGTGCCGCCGCCGCCGCCGCCGCCGCCACCGCTGCAGCCGCCGCAGCCGCCGCCGCCGCAGCCGCCGCAGCCGCCGCCGCCGCCGCAGCTGCCGCCGCCGCCGCCGAGTGTACACTCTGTATTGTTTTTTGCCAGTGACGGTGGGGGGAGGCCGATGCGGCTGCGCATGCTCCGGATTTGGAGGCAGAGTGTGTTTTGTATGGTTTTTTTTACAAGGGATGGTGGTGGGGCGCCCGCATTGTCCCAGGTTGGCTCCCAGTCGCTTGGGGGAGGGGGTATTTATTAATAGGGAACAGTGATCGAGCTACCCACCCGCCCACAAGCCGTCAAGCTCACTCCCACCCGCCCTCCCAACACATAAGTAACCCCCGAACTTGAGCATGTTCAGCGGTCGTCTTTGGATGGACAGCTACTGGGAACCAAAGCCGACCCCAGGTGCGCGACGCTTGGGCGAGGTGCGCCACGCGTGCCAGAGACGCCACGCGCGCCAGGCACCCCTGGGGCTCGAGCGTGCCAGGCACTCCTGGTGCGCCCGATGCGCCACGTGCTCCGAGTGCGCCAGGTGTGCCGCACACTCCAGCCGCGCCAGGTGCGCCATGTTCGGGGCACGTGCAGAGTGCGTCAGGTGCACCTGCGCACCTGCCAGCACACATCGGGAAACATGTTGGCCCCCGCCATCCTTGTCGAAAACCAATGCCCAACGTTGTATCAGGTGGGCTTGCGCACAGCAGGCCACGCGCCACCACCCCCGCGGCCCCTGTCAAAAACAATTTGACAGTGATCGCGGGATGGCCGCGCATGACCCAAATTTAGCCGCGAGGTGCATGTTGTATTGTTTTTTGTCAAGGATGGTAGTCTTGCGCACGGCAGGAAATATGTTGCCCCCCCCGCCGTCCTTGTCAAAAACAATACAAAGTGTTCGCGTGCCTCACGAACATGACTCAAGACTTTGCCACCAATTGTACTTGGCATTGTTTTTTGCAAAGGATGGTGGGGGGGGGGCACAATCGGGTTGGCCGCGCATGCTCCACATGTGGAGGCAGAGTGCGGTTTGTATTAATTTTTGACAGGGGTGATGGGGGGCGGGTCGGCATGGTATCCTCATGGTTCCTGGTTGGACGCCGGTCGCCTGGGGGAGGGGGTGTACATCAAGGGGATAACCCTCCCCCGAAGGGGAAGAAGGGGTTCTTTTGGAAGAGGAAGGCAAGATCTCGTGAAACCGCCTGTCGCCCAGAGGGCTGGCGGGATTTTTTCCGCAGCGTCGGAACTCAGGGTTCGAGGGCCGTGGATCTAGCCTCAGCAGGGCTGCCTGATAGTCGAGCCTGCAAGTTTTTGTGGGGTGGTGCCCAATGAGGGCGCCCCGAGGGGCATCCCCCTCTGAGGGGCCGCCCTGGGGTCCCGGTGGGGGACATTCCCCCCCTGTTGGGGCCCTGACACTGCCACGATTGGGCTTAGGCATGCGCCTGCACAGGGGCTTAGGCTGATGGGGTCAGCCGTGAGTGGACTGACGTCCGTAAATCTTGATTGCCTCCATCGGTTCAACATCAAAAACAAGAAAATCGAGGATCAGGGATCGAGGATCGGGGCTCGGGTTCAAGGTTCGAGGTTCGCCCTCTTCGGCATCCATGGGCCGCCTCGGGCTCCCTGGCCGTCACATCGGTCGAATCTGGGGTGGGGAACTGGCCAGACTGGACGGACCCTGGGAGGGGTCCGAGGACCGATGCTGAGCAGATTTCGGGGTCCATAGTCATTGTCGTCGTTGTCGTCGTCGACGTCGTCGTCCGAGTCGTTGTCTTCGCCGTCGACCTGGGCACTGTCACGGCCTCGTCGTTGTCGTCGCCTTCTTCCCCCGCGTCCTTCTCCGGCTCCAGGAGGAGCCATGGCGGAGGAGAAGGAGGAGGAGGAGGAAGATGATGCTGCTGCTGATGATGATGATGCTGATGCTGATGACAGATGTTGACAGATGATGATGCTGATGCTGATGATGATGATGCTGCTGATGCTGTTGTTGATGCTGATGATGATTGATGATTGATGGTCGATGATAGATGATTGATCGATTGATTCATCGATGATTCATTGATGTCTTGATTGATTGATTGATTGGTGATGGTGACTGTAATACTGATACTCTCATGTTGATACTGATAATGATGATGCTGATGATGATGTTGATGATGATGACGACGGTGATGGTGATGGTGATGCTGATGGTGATGATGATGATGATGCTGATGGTGATGCTGATGCTGATGCCGATGCCTCTAATGGTGATGCTGCTGCTGATGATGATTATGATGCTTATGACGATGACGATGATGATGGTGATGACGATGATGATGATGATGATGATGCTGATGATGATGCTGATGATGTTGAAGGTGACGGTGATGATGCTGATGGTGATGGTGGTGATGCTGATGACGATGATGATGATGCTGATGCCGATGCTCCTGATGATGCTGCTGCTGATGTTGATGAGGATGCTGATGACGATGACGATGCTGTTGATGATGCTGATGATGCTTTTTTCGATGATGATGAAGATGATGTTGATGATGCTGATGATGCTTATGACGATGATGATGATGATGCTGATGATGATGCTGATGATGATGACGATGATGATGATGCTGCTGCTGCTGCTGATGATGATGATGATGCTGATGATGATGATGCTGCTGCTGATGATGATGATGATGTTGATGATGGTGATGATGATGCTGATGACGATGATGGTGATGCTGCTGCTGCTGATGATGATGATGCTGATGATGATGATGCTGATGCTGCTGCTGATGATGATGATGATGATGATGATGATGAAGAATATAAAGATGATGATGATGATGATGATGATGATGATGATGATGATGATGATGATGATGATGATGATGATGATGATGATGATGATGATGATGATGAGGAGGAGGAGGAGGAGGAGGAGGAGGAGGAGGAGGAGGAGGAGGAGGAGAAGGAGGAGGAGAAGGAGGAGCAGGAGGAGGATCAGACAAGGTAAGAGCACCATCGACGCTTCATGTCTTCAAGTCTCGACTGAAAGAGCGTCGGCGAGACACGCCCACACCATGCCAACGGAAGACGACGGCAAGCCCACCGCGCTGGGAAAGCAGCAACGGTCCTGCGGGCGCCACGGCTCATGGATGGCCCACACGTGGGCTAGATAACATAAACCACCGGCCTTGCTGCAATCCCCACCCCTCCCGCCTAACCCCCGACGTACCCCTCTCCGCCCCCTTTCCAGTTTCGGCCTGCACGGCGGGTCTGAAACGACCTCCTTGCTGCCGTAATAAAGTTAGTGCCACCCCTGGCTGGATGTGGCCGCGCACCAACAGCTCTGACATTCGAACAGACAAGGCCGCCAGCCTCGCGGTTAGTGGGCGCACCTCGGACTCCTCGGAGCTCCTCTGGGAGCTTGAAGGAGGCCTCCCGCTCGAGTGACCCCCTCGGTGGCGGCCCTGCTTTGAGAATGCCTTGGCTCCTTCTTCAAAGCTCCTGCGACAGCTTCCACCAGCTCGTGCCACTGCGTGCCGAAGCAAACGGTGACGCGCATGATCTCCCCCTGCGCCTCCTTCCTCCTCGTGTCTTGGATCATGCAATGACGCATCTGTTCTGCCCGGTCCGAGGAGTCCTTCGTGAGAACCTGCTGCTTCCAGAACGTCTCTGTGATGCTCCTGTGCTGCTCCGATAACCCTCCCACCGCGTGCGCTGTCTTGATCATTGCTTTGAATATACGTTCAAGAAAAGTGGCCCTAGTTTGTCGTACCCACCATCTCCGCCGCCGCCGTCCTCGCTGCGCTTGGCGTGCTGGTGGTAGTCTCGACCCGCTTCCGATCGTCGACGGCGCTGGTATGAGGAGGGTATGCTACACTGCCGCGATCAGGTCTCTCAAGGCGGCCGCCCGCGTTAGAGCGAGAGCCGCGAGAACCTTTATCATGCGCTCGAGAAGCTGAGCCTTTGATCCTGCTCCTACGCCTGCGCCAAGATCCGTCAGCAACTTGCGGCCACCCACCCTCCTGCGAGTCCTCCGCCCCCCTCTTAAGGTGGAGAAGGAGGAGAAGGAGGAGGAGGAGAAGCAGGAAGAGGAGGATGAGGAGGATGAGGGGGAGGAGGACGAGGAGGAGGAGGAGGACAACTTGTGGCCCAGGACCCGATGCCTTCACATTCATGTCATGCACCGCCCTCTCCAGGGAGGTAGATACCATCCCTTGGCTATCACGCCAGAGGGTAAAAGCTCTGGCACCAAGGTGGCCATATCCCAGATAACGCAAGCGTCCCACCTGTTGTGTTTTGACCCGCTTGAGTGGCTGCGAGACGGCCGGATTGCGAGCGTGGCAGCCTTCGATATCGACGGTTTTTAGGCGTTTTGTTTGCTTGGGTGACCATCAGGCATAGGCATGCGGTCCTTGTGCTTAAAGCCAGGACGCCCATCCCTGTCGATGGACAGTTACGGGCATCCCGTCCTCGCAGTGAGTGTTCTGCTGGGCATCCGACAAGCTTGGCCAGCCTAAGCGGCTGTGAGACGGTAATCGTGCCAATGCGGGCGCGGCAGCCTTCGACATTGATGGTGTCGAGTAGGCGCCGTGCTGACCTGGATGTCCACCCCTGTCGATGGACATGCATTATCCTCCTCGTGCCTCAAGCTAGGATGATCGCCCCTGCCGATGGACAGGCACGGGCATCCCAGCTTTGCAATGAGGGTCTCATTAGGCATTCGAGAATTTTGTTGTCTCAAATGGCAGCGAGACTGCCATGCTGCCGTCGCGGGTGCGGAGCTGTCGACGTTGCCGTGTTGACTTGGGTGCCCATCCTCGCCGCCTGGCCACCGCTGCCTCCTGCTGCTCGCTGGTGCCGCTGCTGCTCGCTGCTTGCTGCCGCCGCTCCCCGCTTCCGTTCCGCTGCCGCCGCCAGGGGCCGCGCCGGCAGCATGCGGGATGGCAAAGGCGCCCGTGCGCCCACCATTTCGATTTCATTGTCTCAGATGTTTGCGTTGTTTGTCCGTAAGGGGTTCGCCCTCTGCCGCCGCCCCCCTCCCTCTCTCTACTACAATTCGGAAGCGAAAGACGACATAAACATCAACTTGCGACTGTCCGCGCGGATTTCTTGAATCTGTGGTGGTGCCCTCTTGGTGGCGCCTCCGGCAGCGCCTCTGGCGCTCTCCGCGCGCCAGGGAGGGGGTTCAGGGCACATCCAAGAAATCCGCACGGACCTCCGAAAGGTTATGTTTATACCGCTTTTGTTCCTTTCGAAATTACAAATGTCAGAGCTATTCTGGGCCGTGTCGGCGCTGTTATGAAAACATATGGGAAAGTCATGCGAGTACGATTGGCGTTCAGTAAGCACCTTGAGATATTGGATTTGTTGTTCTGAGTGCTCTGTTTCCTTTTCAGGGCGCGAAGCTGGCGTAACTTACAAAGGACGAGGGAGCGAGTTGTTCCGGGAGCGCGAACCTGGCCGAGGGATCCAGGCTTCGGAAGCGCGAATTTGTCGAAACCGACAAAGGATTCTGGCTTCGGCAGCGCGAATCTGCCTTAATTTGCGAGGGATTCTGGCCTGGAGAACGCGAACCTGGCGTCATGCAGGAGTGGATCTGGCCTCGGGAGCGCGATTCCAGTATAATTCTTGACGCTTCGCGTATCCCCCATCCCATCCAGACACGATCGGAGGCGTTCTTGAAGCCTCTTGGAGGCTATCTTGAGCCATGCTTGACTAGAGGCTGTCGGAGGCTATCCTGAGCCATGCTCAGCTTTCTTGGACCATCTTGAGGCTGTCTTGAAGCCTCTCGGAGGCCTGTCAGAGGCTATCCTGGGCCCTGCTCGACCTCCTGGGACCATCTTGGGGGGACGCCCCAGCGGCAGGGCCCGCATGGCGCACCCGCACCCGATTCCGCACACTCCTCGCACGTTTCGTGGCCCCACAGGGAGCTCCACCGAAGGCCCCAGCGGCAGGGTCCGCACGGCGCACCCGCGCTCGATTCGGCACACCCCTCACACGCTTCGTGGCCCAATGGGGGGCCCCACCGGAGGCCCCAGCGGCACGGTTTGCACGGCGTACCCGCACCCGATTCGGTTCACCCGTCACACGCTTCGTGGCCCCACAGAGAACTCCAGGGCCCGAATGGCAGGGTCCGCATGGCGCACCCGCCCCATGTCGGCACACCTAATCACTCCTCCCCCCGCTTCTTCTCACTTGCCCCGCGGTGCCCGCAGCCTCATATGACTGGGCTTTTCGTCCGGACAATTTTGTTCTTGCGGTCTGGTCAGGTCCCGCTGACACTTGTGTGTTCTGGTTTTGTTTACGTTGCCTTGGTCTTGTGTGACATGGCCGCTGCCCCCCTCTCGCGGTGGACGCTTTTTGTGTGCGTCACACAGAAGGGTTCCTCCTCCTCTTCGGCATCCTTAGGGGGTCACATGCGAACCCTACCCCTACCCCCCACGATTTCGGAGTGGGAGGGTGAAGTTCACTTAACTCGGGAGCTCCCGAGCGAAGTGACCCCCCCCCTCCGAAATCGTGGGGGGTAGAGGTAGGGTTCGCAGGCGGCCCCCTACTCGTCGTCCTCAGGCCCCCGCTCTGTCGCCATCGGAGCCCCCACATATCCTCACTGCTGTGCTCACCCGCCTGCCTCTTCACCTGCCTCACTTCTCTACCTCCTCGCTCTCCTGTTCCATCTCTAGGGGAACAACAAGTGACATAAACATAAAAACTCTGAGGTCCGCGCCTGCATTCGGCAATGAAAAGGGAGGGCTTGAAACCTGGCGATCCGCCAACGCTGGGAAATTCGGGAGGGGTGATGGCCTGAACGGACTTTGAAGGATTGAAGACAAGAGTTTAGGGATATAGGCGACAAGATTCCCTGAAGGTTTGATGGAGTATCCATGGAGAAGGCCAAAACACAGCCGAGCTCGTTCGGCCCTAATCCCACTGTGCCTGGGCCACGTTGCCTAATGGGGCGTTCTAAGCAGGATGGGCGTTCGCTGTGTCGAAGTATCTCTGTCAGGTGGGAGGGTGCGCAAACGTGCAGGTTTGTTTCCAAGGGCTTTCAAGCATAACGACTTAGGCAAGAGCCGATTGGTCGATTCATGGGAGTACATGTCCAGAGAACAACCCTTGAGCTGGGGCTCCTGGCTCCAGTCCCGAGGAGGTTTCTGGGAGCCACTGCGCAATGAGTATCCTGAGAGCTTCTCTGTCTACGGGCTACTCTCCGCTTGCACCGTGGTATGGTTGCCACCTCCAGCTGTATTGCATGTGTTGTCATGCTGCGGCCTCCCGACCCGTACATGGTCAACATCTGAGCGACGCAAAGAAGCGGGCTCGTCTGCGCCGACATTGGCGCGCAAGCTGCCCGCGTGAGGTCGCGCGTAAGCGCCCTCGCTTCAAATGTGGCTTGCCGCGCTGGCGGCCCGCGTAAGCCACCGCTCAAGGTCGCTGTGCCATCTCGCGTGCCGTCGCCCATCTGGACGCAACCGTGAACGCCGATACAAGATGCAACCCCCTTTGCTTCCAACATGTGATTCCCAAGATCCTGATGCGGCGCATAGTTCGGTAGAGTCTGCATGCTCCATGTTGTTTGCCCATCTTCCGTACGTTGCAACTGTTGGAGATGCTTGGCGATGATCTGATTTGAATGCACATTTCTTTTCCACCTCCTGCCCATCCGAAAAGACGAGAATTGCAGGCCTATAGTTTATTTGTTCCTGTCCATTCGCGCGCCTCATGTTGCTGCCCCTCCTTGCCCCGGAGCCTGCCCGAGGCATGGGTGGTGGCATGTGCGGCGGCATGGGCGGTGGCATGGGTGGTGGCATGTGCGGCGGGGGCATGGGTGGTGGTGGAATGGGCGGCAACATGGGTGGCTGCGGAATGGGAGGAGGCATGGGCGGCGGCATGGGTGGAATGGGTGACGGCCTTAGTCGAGCTCTGCACAGATCGCTCTGAAGTGGGCCGTCCGCGCAGCGACGGTCTCACATGATCGGTATCACAGCCGCCGCGTTTGTGTGTTGGGACGCACCAGAAGATGTGTTTGCGAGTTGACATTTGCATCCTGGTGCACGGCGGGACACGTCTGATACAGGATCGGTGTTTCGAATTGACGATTCATGTGACGTGAGTTTGCCTCTGTTGTACGTGCATACCTAATGACATCATTGTTACGATTGCCCAGATTCACAAGCGAATTGTAAATACAACCGCTCAACTCACACAGCCTTCCATACTCCATGCAGCTCGATATGTTGACAAGCTGCTCAGACGAAGAACTGGCGAAGCACTCCCTTGCAGATTGCACTGCGATGTGCCAGTAGCTATCCGTTGCCTTTCGAGTGGGGTCTCAGACGAGCAGTTCGCAAGTTGTTTGAGGGTATGTATAACCCACCCGTCCGATGAGGTCGGCAAGATCAAATCCTTCCATCTCGGCTCGTCTCATTATCGGATGATGACTGAGACTCTTCGATAGCTGATTGAAGTGTCCTTCGGATGGTCTGGGGCTTGTGGAGGCCACGATGAAGACCTGGCATGCCGTCCAGGCGCCTGATCTCTTGCGTTGCGGTGTCAGGCTGTGACTAGGACGGCTACACAATAGGGTGTCTTCGTCGAGCATGTCCATTATTGGGCTGGCCTCCGGCCAGTGCCGCCGATCCGGGGGGGATGAGAGCGAGATGATGATGATGATGATGATGATGATGATGATGATGATGATCCTGATGATGATGATGATGATGATGATGATGATGAGCATAATGATGATGATGATGATGATGATGATGATGATGATGATGATGATGATGGTGGTGGTGGTGGTGGTGGTGGTGGTGGTGGTGGTGATGATGATGGTGGTGGTGGTGGTGGTGGTGGTGGTGGTGGTGGTGATGATGATGATGATGATGATGATGATGCTGATGATGATGATGATGATGATGATGATGATGCTGATGCTGATGCTGATGATGATGATGATGATGATGATGATGATGATGATGATGATGATGATGATGATGATGATGATGATGATGATGATGATGATGATCCGGGGCATCTGGGGCGGTTCGAGCGATGTTTCGGCGATTCGGGGCCCTCTTGCACTGTCTAGGGGGCCTCTGGGGCCTCTCTTGGCTTCCTCTTGGGCTGTCTAGGGCGGTCGGGGCTCCGGAAGTGGAGTTTTCTATATCCCCCTGTCCCCGGGTACCGAAAAACGTCGGCACTGACGTCGGAAATATCCCCGGGTACCGAAAAACGTCGGAAACGACGTCGGAAATATCCCCGTGTACCGAAAAACGTCGGAAATGACGTCGGAAATAAAGTGCCCCCCCCCCCCCCATGCAGAGCGAAGCTTGAGCGAGCTCAAGTCCACGCTCTCAGAAACTCACACGCCGGATCGGCGGATTTTATCGCTTTACTCATTCCGCTGGCCTGTACTGTGCCGTCGAAGGCGTTTGCCTGCGCGTTCGTGGCCTCTTGGGGCCTCGTAGGGGGCCGTTTGGGGGCCTCTTGGGGCCTCTTTTTGGGCCTCTTAGGGACCTCGTGGGGCCTCATCTTGGAGCGTCGGAAGCTCGAACACGCGAGAAAGCGAACATCGTAGAAAAACACAAGGAACACGAATGATGTTTGCTTCCTTTGCCCCTATTTGGGCTCCTCCTCCAGCGCTCTTGGGTTTCTTTGGGCTTGGGCGTCTTGGAGCGCTCTTGGGCCGTGATTCCGATCCGTGGGCCCTTTGGGAGCCGCCTTGAGGTTCCTTGGGCCGCTCCTGGGGCGATCGGGAAGGTCCCGAAAACCGCCCCCAGGAGTTCTGGCATCCTTTGCGGAACTTGCCGGCACCTTGCCGGGGGGGGCCAGTGACCACCCCGCGGGGGCCCGAGTCACCAGGAGACGTCTTTGGGCCTTCAGGGGGGCCTGAGGGCCTCTGGGCGGGAGCGAATTCACCGTGACGCTGGTCTGGGGGGGCCCAGTGACCACCCCGCGGGGGCCCGAGTCGCCAGGAAACGTCTTTGGGCCTTCAGGGGGCCCCAGGGGGAGTCGGCCAGGGTCTTTTTCGTTTGGGGGCCCCCGGGGGCCGCCCCGCGCGCGCCAACCAGAGCAGTTTTATACACAAGTTGCCGGAGATCTTAGCACGCCTCTGGCCTGTTGGGCTGGCGAGCTTCTCGTCCAATCCTGGTATCCGGGGCATGCTCGTTGGCCTCAGCAGGAATATGAGCGGGATGTTCACGGCCATCCCGCTGCGCATATTCTCGACCCGCATGGCAAGGATGGGCAACCTTCCCAGCGGTACCCTTGCACCCTTGCCTCCTCGACCCATCTTTGGCCACGTTCGTTGGCCGCGCCCCGCTCGAAAGTGCTGAGGACTGGGCGCGTCCCAGGCCCTTGCATCCTTATCGCGCATCCTTCTGCTGCGGGCCGGCTGCACTTCTGGTTGGTCACCACCCACCAAACCACCCCGACCCAACCCGAAGGCTCAGATTTACCCTCGATTTCCAGTTGGGGGGGGGGTCGGGAACCGTCGACAAAGCACGTATGGAACCCTTGCCCCCCCCAACCCGAAATTCGGGTCTTCGGGTTGGGTTGGGGTGGTCTGGTAGGTATCAGGAGGGAAAGAAACACACAGACACAATTAATCGTCGAATCCCCAGAAAATATGGGAAAATATGGGAACTGGGCGGGAATACAAAAACCCAGAAAGTATACGAAAATATGGGGAATCTTTTTATTTGTGTGTATTTATTTGTGTGTCCTGGGGCCCCTTGAAGGTAGTCAGTTGGGTGGGCGTCCCTCCCGACGACTTGCCGGCAGCCTCCGGCCGTCGTCCAGGGCCGTCGGCGTACGGGCCAGGGCACCCCCACAGGGGGGCGCGCAGGGAGCCGCGCGAGGGCGCAGAGACGACAGCTAGCGTCCCGCGCGGCGCGAAGCGGGAAGCCTCCTCCTCCTCCTCCTCCTCCTCCTCCTCCTCCTCCTCCTCCTCCTCCCCCTCCTCCTCATCCTCCGAGCATGGGCTCCAGGGGGGCGCTCCACCCTCAGAGCAGTTGGTCGCCAAGGCTTCTTCGCAGGCGTGCCTCTTGGGTCCTCCCTGCCGGTTCGTCCCTTTTGGCCCTGCGTCGGTCGTTCCCGCTCGCGCGCTGACCGGCACGGGTTGGCCCCGCAGGTGGCCATGTGCGCGCTTGTTGTTCTGGAATTGTCTTCGGCATCCCAGCTAGGGCACGGCTGGACTTTGCCAGTAGGCTTGCTAGGGATACGTTTGTAAGAGAGCCATGGCGCTTTTGGTCTCCGCTCAATGCCCCTAGACCCCCACGCAGTCCATCCGCCCTCAGAGAGGCTGCACGCCGCAGCAGATGCAAGCATTGGCTTCGTCGTCGGTGACCCTGCCACTCTTTTCACGCGCTCTGCTTGGCGGCACGGCCGACCAAGGTGGCATGGGTGGCGGAATGTGTGGCGGCAAAGGTGGAGACATGGGCTGCGGCATGGGCGGCATGGGGTGCATGGGCGGTGGCATGGGCGGCTGCGGTGGGATGGCCGGCAACATGGGTGGTTGTGGCGGCATGGGTGGCTGTGGCGGAATGGGCGGCTGTGGGGGGATGGGCGGTTGCGGCGCGATGGGAGGTGGCATGGGAGGTAAAGGAGGCTGCGACATGGGATGTGGAATGGGCGGTATGGGCTGCATGGGCGGCATGATGGGAGGCGCCGCGCGTGGTCGTCTCTGCGTGCTCGATCGAGCCTCGTTCTCAGCCCCCCCCGCGCTCTGCTGCACTTGGTCCCCTTCCACGCGACAGCCGCGCGCTGCGCCCCGATCGAGGGCATGCTTTGTACGTTCGGACCGCACTGCTCAGCACATTTTCATGTCGGTCCTGCTCGCAGGACGAGGGGTGAAAGGACGAGGAGGAAGATGATGGTGCAGAGGAGGAATAAGATGAGGTCCGTGTCAAGGGCAAGGCCAAGGTCAAGGTCAGAGCGCACAGGAGGCGGATCCCGAACGGCAGCAGCAGCCAGAGGAGGAGGAGGAGGAGGAGGAGGAGGAGGAGGAGGAGGAGGAGGAGGAGGAGGAGGACCAGAGTAAACCTACGATGCATCAGCTATGCTGAAGAACACCCCAGAAGTCCCTACCAGCCTTACTGTCCCCCTCAAGAAGCGTCCCCATGAGAGACCAGCACCCTGTGAGCCTGCCGTTCGGGCGGGACCTCCGGTCTGAGAGCTGCTCGGTCTCCTCCCAGGGGCTTTCTAAGAAACGGACAGAGGTGTGCTCGTACAGCAGCGAGGCGTCCAGCGGGATCCCCGTTGTGAGAAAGAACCGCCTCGTCCGCGCAGCCCTTGCAAAGGTTCTCGCTTTGGCCACGAGCGTCGAGGAAGTCTGAAGCAGAATCCCCAGTAGGAAAAGACGCCGCCCTCCCAGGCAGCTGTGACACATGTTGAAGCTTCTTGTTTTCCAGCTTGAGGGAGTTTCTAGCGAACGCCCAGTTCTGAAAAGGAACCGCCATTCATCCGTGCAGCTGTTGTATCTTGGGCCGTCTCGGTATCATGTTGGCTGTCTTGGAAGCCGTCTTGGAGGCCATCTTAGCTGTCGGAGGCCGAAAAGACCGCGGAGAGCAAATTCTTGACGTTGAGGTCCAATCATAGATGGGGCTCTCGCAGACACACTTTCCATCACATCGTGTTTACATCCAATCGTGTTCTGCGGCGGTTAGCTGCACCCCCCGTGTCAACGAAAGGTCGATGTCCAATCATAGATGGGGCTCTCGCAGACACACTTTGCTGGCTCACACTATGTAAATGGTGCTTTGCGGCGGTTAGCTGCACCCCCCTCTCTCAGCGCAGGTGCTCTCAGCGAGAAGTGCACATTCAACAGAGACCTCAGCTGCGAGTAGCTGCACCCATCGATGTAAAATGTATCCTAGCGGCGGTTAGCTGCTACCCCCCCTTTCTTCCACGCAGGTGCTTGCATAGTAGCTGCGATCCGACCCCCAAGTGCCTATCGGCGGACTGGGCCTGGCTTGCCTCATGGCCCAAGTGTCCTCCACAATGCAGCTCCCGAAGGCGCCTCGCCCTTTGACACCACAGGAGGCAGCACTACTACCAGTGCCGCCCCCCCCCTCACTCCTCCGCTGGCGGTGCGTCCCCGCCTGCGGGCCCTCCCCCCCCTCTGTGAGGGAACCTGGCGCCGTGCCGGCACGCGCTGCGTGGCCCACAGTCGCTTGTTCCGCCCTTGCCCTGTGGAGTGGTCACTCGGGTGTTGGGTCGCCACGGAGTGGTTCAGCCTTCCGCAGCAGGACAGCACCCAGGCTCCCACCAGCTGCCGGCCAGTGCGCCGCACCAGTTCCGCGACAGCTGCTTGGACTGCTGACGTCGTCGCGGGCGTTCGGAGTCTGGCGCCCCACAGGCGACTCACTCCACCGGCCTCCCACTTGCCTCCACTGCAGCAGGACCCCCCCTGGCAGGCTGCACAGGCGCTTCACCACTCGTCGGCGGTGCTCCCCACGCCTGCGGATCTCTTCGCTTCAGGGATCGGCATCGCAGTTGCGCCTTGGGCACAGCCGCATGGCTCCACCTGGCACTGGGAGGCGGATTGCTGAGGTCTGGGCGCCGTGTGGTTCAGCCTGCTTCGCCTGTGCAGTCCCCGGTTTTCTTCTGATTCGCACACTCTGCCGGTTGTCCCCTTCGGTTCACACTGCGGCGCCTATGTGCGTTTGCTTGGAAATTTAGTTCATTTTGTTCTGTGCATGTGCAGCTGCGCCCTTGTTGTGCAGGTACGAACCGGCTTGCCAACGTGGCGGCGGTGTTCGCCAATTCGCATCGTGCCGCGCGCCCCAGATTTTGCCTCTCGCCGCCAGACCGTTGTCGCGCGGCCGCCGACCAAAAAAGTATCTCCACCAGCGGCGTCGCTCCTCGGCGTCCCTCGGCGGCAGTTTCGGCGGCCGTTTGTTAGCGCGCTTAGGTACTGAGGTTCGGCTCGTAGCCCGGGCTGACTTCGGACGCCGCCTGCGCTTCCGCTTGCGGCCGCGACGGAAGCAAATCCCCACCAGCCCATCCAGGAACGATGCCCATGAGAGTTGACGGGAGGAGAGGGGGAGAGACACGCGTAGTCAAACAGCGAGGGAGGCTTGGGAGGCTCCGTGGCCAGCTGAAGCCTTCTTGGAGCGGTCTTGGGGCCGCTTGGAGCATCTTGGGAGCCATTTTGAGCCAGCTTGGACTATCTGAGCCATCTTGGAGGTCGTCTTGGGCTTTCCGAGGCTGCTCGGAAGCCTTTTGGGGGCCCCTCGGGCGCCTCTTGGAGCCCATTTGAGGCTTCTTTGGGCGCTCTTGGAGCCCTCTTGAAGGCCTCTTGGAAGCACTGGAGCGCCTCTTGGTGCCATCGTGGAGGCGGTCGGACAAAAGAGGGGGGGGGGGTCCTAGATTCCCCCCCCCCCCGAGGCCACGATCCTCGTGAGGGGTGTCAAACATTGGCCCTCCCAGGGGTTGAGAAAACAGCCTCCGACACCGCGCGACCCCTCCCCCAAAACCTCAGGGAGGGGAGGGGGAGGGTTCCCCTCCCCGAAGGGAAGAGAGAGGAAAGAGACCGTCCTTAGACCACCTGTCGCCCAAAGGGCTGGTGGGATTCGGTGGGGGTGGTGTTTGAGGGGGCTTGCGATGAGGTGGGGGTCGGCCTTAATAAGATTACAAAACCCGTTCAGACAACAGAGAAGCATTTTAACATGCCCACGCCGTGGAGTTTCGCACGCGCGTCTGTGTGTCCGCGTGCGCGCGCGCGTGTGTGTGTGTGTGTGTGTGTGTGTGTGTGTGTGTGTGTGTGTGTGTGAAAAAAGGCGTGGCGATTGTGACCGGCCCCGCCACGCCCTGATCATGTGGCGCTTCCTCCTCTGTGACCACCTCGACAATCAACTGGCTGAGACCCTCGAGCCGGAAGGGACCCTCACCGTGCGCCTGCCCCTCCTCTTGCTGCAGCGCCTCCTCGACATCGTCAGGGGCTTCGGCCGAGGTGGCACCTGGCGCTGGTGGCGGTGACCCGGCGCGCGAGGCGGCCGAGTCTGGAGACAGCCCCGACGTGGACCGACCCGCGGAGCCTGCCTCCGAGCCCGACCGCGGGCCCTGCTCCTCAGCCTGGGCGGGGCGGGGCCCCAAAGGACGCCCGTCGCGGGCCACGGCGTCCTGCCTCGCCTCCCGCTGGCAGCGACGACGGCGGCCCCGCAGACACCAGCCCTCCTCCTGGCGACGGGGCCAGGCCCCGCGACGACGCGGGAGCCGCCAACGCTCCACTGCAGTCCGGCCCCTTCGCCGAGATCGCGCAGACGCCTATCCAGGATTTCCTCCACCGCACCAAAGCTCAGGTCGTCGACGCCTTCGTGCAGCTCGGGTTCTTCCAATCCGTGCTCTGGCGTGACTTGCTCCACAGGATGATGAGCATCATGCAGGGCGACCCAGCACGCTGCTCGGACGAGGACCTGGCCTCCTTCGGCCGCGCCTACGTCCACAAGACGCGCAGAGGCAAGGCCAAACCGGCGCGCTTCGTCCCCGCCTCGGGGCAGCCTCGCGGGTACGAGCCGGGCGACCATCTACCCCAGCGGTGACCTGATTGGGCACCTCCACGATGTCAGGCAACGCACTGGGCGCCCTGACGTTTGGAAGGGTTTCTTCTCCCATGCCGTTCCCCAGGGCGTTCCCTTCTACCACCCCGACCCGCGGCTGTTGGAACCCAAGGTCTCGCAGGTCGTGGTCGACGGGTGGGACCCCTGGCGTCTCCAGGGCTGGCGCCAGATGTCCGACGGGCAACGCCGCCACCTGGCACAGTGCTTCCTCAGCGAACGGTCCAGGGCGGCCTCCGACAGGCCAACGTGGGGCGCCACCGCCCCTGAGGAGGAGGCCTCGGGCTCCCCATCGCGCCTGGGCCTGGGCCTCGGCCGTCGGCAGTCCCCCCGCGCCTGGGGCGCGAGTGTGGCCTGGGCCGACGGTTTGCCCTCGTCCCAGCGTTTCCCCCACGCCGTCGGCGCCCCCCCCCTCGCGCGAAGCCACGCAAGCGCAGCGTGGGGAGTCCGTGGGCACCTCGCCCCACGGTGGGCGAGGAGGAGGAGGAGGAGGGAGGAGGGCGGAGGAGGAGGAGGAGGAGGAGGAGGAGGAGGAGGAGGAGGAGGAGGAGGAGGAGGAGGAGGAGGAGGAGGAGGAGGAGGAGGAGGAGGAGGAGCCAGGGAAGCCCGCTTGTGCGGGCGACTCCTTTCCCCCCCCGCCTCTCCTCCTCCTCCTCCTCCTCCTCCTCCTCCTCCACCTCCTCCTCCTCCTCCTCCTGCCGCGCCCAGTTGGCTACTGTGTGCCTCCCCGCGGGCTGCGCGCTGCGCCCCCGCGCGGTGCGCCCCGCGCTGGGCGGATCTCTCCCGCTCTGTGATCCCTGCCCTGCATGCCGTCGTGCGGCCCCGCCCACACTGTGTCGCGCGCCGGTTCACCAGCGCGGGTTCGTGGCGTCGGCGCGAAGCAGCGCTCGCGCCTGTGGACCGCGTCAGCACTGCGGGCGGCGGTTTTCCGCCATGGCTGCCTGGGCCGCTGCGGCCTTGCCCGCGCCTGCCCAAACGCGCCTCCAGCCTACTGTGGTCAGCGTCGCCATCTAGAGTAGTTCCTTTCAGGGCCCAGCCGTGCGCTCCTGTCTGCTGCTTTCGACTTACTCCGTCTCGTCGCCGCGCGCGATGTCGCGACCGCCGAAAAAGAGTTCGTGTTTGTGTGTGTGTGTGTGTGTGTGTGTGTGTGTGAGCGCCCGCGCGCGCGCGTGTTTTTTTTTGTGTGTTTGTGTTTGTATGTGGTTATGTGCGCGTGTGTGTGTGTGTGTGTGTGTGTGTGTGTGTGTGTGTGTGTGTGCGTGTTTCTGAGGGCCCGGCCGCGTCCGCTGCGGTTC